GAGAGATATGGGCATTGATTTGCTATCTCAGAATAATGTGTACCTCACAGTATCGCTTGTTATCTTTCTGTTGCAATAAAAAAAAATCCCTGAGACAATCAACTTATGAAGTGAATTGTTTCACAATTTTGGAGGTTTCAGTACATGATCCATTATCCCCGTTACTTTAGAGCCTGTGGTAAAGCAGCACATCATGGTAGGAGTGCATGTAGAGCAAAGCCATGTACCTTATCATGAACCAAAAAGCAAAAGGAAAAAGTGAGGAAGAGATGGAGGCCTCAAAATCCCCTTTAAGGGCATTCCTCCTGTGACCAAACGACCTCCCACTATGCCCCAGCTCTTAAAGATTCCCCCACATCCCAATTACATGACCCTGGGAACCAAGCTTTACTACACGGGCCTTTGGAAGACACTAAAAATCCAAATTGTAGCATTCTGCTGCTGTTCCCTAAGGGTTATAACTATCTTACAGTGCAAGATGTCTTTAGTCCATCTCCAGGAATCCTCAAAATCTTAATCGTTCCAGCATTGCTCAAAAGTTGAAATCCAAAGTCTTCTTCAAGACTAAAGGCAAATTCAGCTGTGAGCCCCTGTGAGAAATCAAAACACAAGTAACATACTTTCAAGATACAATGATGGGACAGGACACAGGGTAAATATTACCATTGAAAAGTATGGAATAGGGGAAGAGAAAGGAATTGTCACAAATCAACACCAAAACCCAGTAGGGCAAACATTAAGTCCTGAATCTTCATGCCCTATATCGAGGACAACCTGTGGTGGGATATGGGATTCCACCTATACGGCCTTGCTTGTGTTCACCCACAATGGTACTCTTTTAGGAAAACTTTTGCATACTCCCTAGATCTTTCCTCAACAGGCACTGCTCAATGCTGGGATCTCTACCTTTCAGGGTCTAAACTATAGCTTTTTGGATGCACTCCCATAGCTCCATGAATCACCCCACTGCAGGGACTTCAACACTGTAACACACTGCCTGGCCTCCAGAGCTTTCCTTTGAAATCTTAATGGATGCCACAACATCATGTGGACAATGCCAAGTTCTGCTGCCAGCATGAACTATACCTGGACCCATTTGAAACTAGCTGTGGTGGGCTCTGAGTACCTTGTTGTCTTAACACTGGAAAGTCATTCTGAGGTGGTCCTGGATGCACAGGGTGTCTATCTCTGATGTCTTTCCTCAAATTAAAGACTTTGAAAGAAATTCACACTTCCAGATCTCTGAGCCTACCAATGGGTAGGGTGGCCTTGCAGATTCCTGAGATATCTTGGAGACATCCTTCCTATTGTCCTGGTACAAAGTGCTTGTCTTCTTTTTGTAGGTGCCAATAACCACACAGTCCTTATCCAAAACTTATACCCATCCCTTCTCTGGCCAAGCTGCAAAATTTTCAAGTCATTCTGATGTTTCTCTTTTCTCCTGATTCTTACTATAAATCCAGTTAAAGGTAGCCAGTAATATCTACACCACAGCTTGAATACTGGGCTGCCTTGAAATTTCCTCTGTTAGTTAACTCGTCTACCACCCTTGATCTCAGTCTCCCACAAAGCATCTGAGCATGATCAAAATGCATTCAAATTAATTGCCATGGTGTAACATTTAGCCTCTGGTCCAGTTTCCAATAGTCCTCACTTCCCAATAGAAACCTCACCTGCATCACCTTTACTCTTGGCACTCCCATCAGCAGTCTGGTTTTTGAGCCCACAGCAAAATACAAGGTAAGCTCTGTTTACAGCATGCTAGGTTTTCTCCAGCCCGCTCCTCCAAATATTTCCAAACTCTTCCTGTAAACCAATTCCAAAGGCTTCTCCACATCATCAAGTATATAGCAACAACAAAGACCCCACTTCTCACTGCCAGTTTTCTGTTGGTCAGCTTTCCATTACTATAACAAATGCCATAGTCACCCTATAAAGGGGAAACACCTATTTTGGCTCACAGTTTTAGAGTTTCTACCCATGATCAGTTGGACCTAATGCTTTTGATGTTATGGCAAGGCAGCATATCATGACAGCAGCATATGTTGAAGCAAAAATCTGACATCTCATTAGGAAACAGGTAGCAAAAAAAAAAAAAAATACTGAGGACAATACCTTTCAAGTGTACTCCTCCAGAGACCTATAAACATCTGACTTTACCCCACCTCTTAATGATTCCACCTTCCTTTAATGCCACTGTGGGGATGATGTCTTTAATACATGAGCCTTAGAGGAATACTCAGATCCAAATCAAAGCAATCATGGTGTTTGCTGATAGGTCAACAATTTTGATACATAATACTTATTCTTTAAACTTTTAATACACAGAAAGCAGGATAAATTATACTCTCATGGGCAAATATGTGACAAAAATAAATGAACAAACAAAAGGATAATTGCCTTTTTCATTTTTTATTGGTTCATGTTAGTTATACATAATATTAGGATTCCTTTTGGCATAATTATAAATACATAGAATTCAGTTTGCTCCAATTCAATCCTCAGTACTTACTCTTAACCTTTACCTCCTCCCTCAATTGCCTGATTTTAAAGCAGACTTTATAAAGGTTTTGGGGTAGAATCTAGATACTATATTAATCACTTTAATATACTGAGACAGCTTATCATCTTCTGATTCTTCTTCAGTGTCTGAATTACCATATTTAAAATATCTGACCCTTGTTTTTAACATAGGCATCATAAAAAGATATGTTTTCAATGCTACTTTTCAAAATGTTGTCAAAATTCTCCTGATTTTCAGAATTTAAGCTGTAAGCTAAACATTTGTGAACAATTATATTGTCGCTCTAGTAAAACTATAAAAGTAGATTTATGGTACTTTTTCACATAGAAATGTAATAATTATTATCATTTGACTAAATTTATCAACATCATTGCCTTTCAATAGATACTTTAGTGTTTTATAGTTATGAAAGGCATTACCAAGCTCAATTCATCTTAGATGCCTTCCCTATTTGAAACTTGATTATATTATACTAAAATATGACAATTTAATTCTTGTTCTGAGAGACTGTTCATTTAGCAATTTGATGGGCTTTAGAAACCATCCTTGATTTCAAAATCTTAAAACTCCTACATTGATTAGATGTGATGTAAATGACTGAATCTCTTTTTAAGTTTTTGCTCTCTTTTTATCTTTCTCTAAGTTGATCAAAAGTGTTGCCAACATTGTAGATACTAATCATAAAAACAAGATTTGCTTCTAGCTCCAAGGGAATATTCACAGAACAATTATGACAACAGAATTTTTAGATGAAAATACAGGTTTGACATTTTTCTTAAGACCAAGGCATGGTCTTCAGCTTTGAAGAAAAGTAAAACACACAGTTTGTTCCATATCCAGCTGCTGAAATTCTTCTCCACACTTCTGAGAAATTTTAAATAAAAACAAAATAGTTTTAGTAAATAGCAATACAACAAAGGCTTATTTTTCCACCCCACGATATTTCTGTAAACCAAATAAGATGGGTTTACAATAAATGTAAGTATGATATACAGAAAGATACAAATAACTATACATATGTATATATTTTAAGTTTGTTTTTCAATACATAACAATTTAAATTTTATATTATTTATATACATGCTTTGATTTTACCATCTGAAAGAGGGGAAGTACTGGATACTAAGATATTACATTTCTAAACTTAATACTGTTTTTTAAACTGTTTTTGTCTTTATAGTTCCCTCCCTTTTTGCTGAACAATATAAAGTGTGGCCTTCTCGACCACATATAAAGAAATTATCTTATTGCTGTCACACTTTCTATTTTAGCTATCCCCATACATTGCATACATCCATGACTCTCTATGTAAATTTCTACAGTAAGCTTCACACTCCAAGTTCCTTAGCATCTCTACAAAGTATTTCTCTTTAAAACCATACACTTACAGCATTGTTTTATACTAATAACCTCATTCTTTCCAAGTAACTTAGCTTCTTCCACACACGCACAAAAAAAAATCATAAAAATTGATTCGCTTTTGACCTTTAGCCACATACAGATTTCTGATGTTTTTCATCAGAAACTTTAATAGGCAATTTCAAAATCAAGTGTGTGGCCGAGCTTGGTGGTGCATGCCTGTAATCCCAGTGGCTAGGGAGGTTGAGACAGGAGGATCGAGAGTTCAAAGCCAGCCTCAGCAATGGTGAGGTGCTAAGCAACTCAGTGAGACCCTGTCTCTAAATAAAATATTAAAATAGGGCTGGAGACACACAAGATTACATATACCCAAGCAATAAAGAACTTATCAGCTTTCAACTTTGTTGCCACCCACCGTGTGGTCAAATAGTGCAATTATGATGGAGTATATTATATTATATCTGCACAGTTATATAGTTTTATGGATACCTAGTTAAAAAAAGCTAGTCAAAGAGTTTAGGTGAGTGTGTGATAGTGTGTTTGTGTATGCATATGGGCCACAGGACTGAAAATAAACTGGCAATTGATGTGTCCCAGAATTTATACTTATATTCTGTCACCCATTAGCATAATATATTGTTCATGAAAGAGAAAGCTTTCTTATGCTGACATTTTGGTGGTAAGATGCTGAAAAATGGAGGAATTTACTGTCTGTCTACTGCCCCACATGGCCAAATATCATCTTAGATTGCCATGGCATGCACACTTGCCCTAAATGAAGGAAAAAAAAGAAGAGAAAGTTCCTATGTGGGAAGAATTGGTGACTAAAAGCCTGCCTTTTTACACACTAGTAGAAGTTTATGTTTGACCTTGGTGATGCCAGGATGTTTTTCAACTGTCTTCTCAATTTAGCCTCAACTTAAGCTCAGCTTTCTGTTTCACTACTGAAAAGAAGGCTTGTACAGTTAAGGAGAGTCTTTAAGAAAAAGCATAAAAATGATGAATGAGGGTTATCAACAGAGGTGAATAAAATGACAGCAGGAAGTTGCAGACCTATTTTTATCTGGCACTCATTCCTATTCACTCTATAAATATTAATATATCCTGCTGTCTACAGAATGAAGACGACCACTGTCAGTTTCACCCAAACCAACTTCTAGAGTTTACACACATTTGGAAAGTATCCAGGTAAGACATTTTACTTCTGTTCCAAGACGGCTTTATGAGTTCTCACATGCCAAATCGCAATATTTTTCAGTTGATTGTAAAGAGTGTCCTTTCACTAGTACCATGGAAGCTATTGTACTTTTAATAGATGTCTCCCTTTGGCAAGTTCTGTTAATAATTATCTGTTCTTCACAGCTTTTCAGATATATTTGAAGGGCTGCTAACACCTTCCAGAACAATCTAACATTCATTTTAAAATATCTCTGCTGCTGGTTATTACATTTTCAAGGATTTTTTTTCTCATTCATTTTGTGAATTTGGGTATGCATGTGTCACTAAGCTCTTTGTAAAACTGAATTTCCATACTTTGAAAGTCAAGATCCTCTACTTAAAATTCTGGAGCTCCCTGAATGTAATTGGTATATCATAAACAGACGAGAGTAAATTCGTATCAGAAGACCCAACTGACAGGAAATGAACATACCCTAATTGATTCTTTTGACTAAATATATGCATGAATTATTTGGAAGAATAGACCTATTAGGAAGCTAAATTGCTACAGTCAGGTTATATCTGTAACTAAATTCTTTTGAGCTGAACCAGCAAAAAATGTGTTGTGGGAAATATATTTCATAAATCTCTAGAGCAAAGCCTGATATAAAATAATAGTCATCACTTTGTGGAGTTATTATATATTTTGCATGCATTATCTCCTCTAATTTCTGCCTTTCCCCAATTCCAGAATAATGCATATTATTCTACTTCAAAACCAAACAGACTGAAGTTTGGGGAGGTTAAATAACTTTCCCAAGGCCACTCAGGTCACTAGTGGCAGGAGTAAACTCAGATCTATCTGAAATATTCAAAGGCCATGTTTTTTTCATTAAGCTATGAGTGTTTTCCATGTGTGTCCCACTTTCTACTTCCCTTCCCAAAATTTTCAGCCTCACAGTATAAAATTATAGAATGGCTAAGACTAGAAAAGACATTACACATAAGCTCACACTCAAAATTTTATTTTGTAACTAATTATAAGGATTGGGTCAGCATAGTATTTTAACTGTCAATATAGCACCTTAGCAAAGGCTATAGTTTCCTTTTTATAAAATAAATTTTCCAGGAATGGCAGGTGTGAGGAGATATAGAAAAAAAAGAAATCAAATGTGACAAATTCTTTAAAACTGGGAATGCTTAGGAGACAAGGCATTATTTTGAACTGGCTTGGTGGGATACCAAAAGGCAAGAGGCAGAGGCTATGAGAAGAAGGTCAAAGCCAGGATGTATTCACTCTGCTCTTGTCTTACACCTGCCACTGCCTGTCCAGGTGTCCACAGGGTTAAAAAAAAAAAAAAGGTTCTACTTTGGTAAGGCATAAAGGAAACCTACCAGAGACTACCTAGAATCAGATTTAACTCCTTCACTCTTTCCCTCCAATCCAAGAGCAGTGAACCACCATCTGATGGATGCCACCTCCCAGTGCTACTTTGGTAAGGAAACTAAAAAAAAAAAAAGTTGAAAAGTTTTGCTAGCTATCATACAGATTGAATGTTGCAGCCATGACTAAAACCAAGTCTCTAACTCTCAAGGAGTGTTTATTCTACTTCCTTTATATTCCAAACTCAGCCCCTTAGATTTCTTCAGTGTTATCTAGTGCAGGTCTATTCACGCCCTCCTTAAGGCCAGTGTGGGACTTTGCCTTCTGTGAGACAGTGCTGCTCTGCCTGCCTTTCTCAACCCACTTGATGGTGTCATCAGAAAGTCAAATGCTAGACAGCAGCTTATATTTTGTTTATTCTATGACTCAACTACCTTTTAGAAGATGGGAACTTCACTTAACATCACTATTTTCTAGTACTTTTTCTGTAAAATAGATACCATACCTTAAAGTTAAGTGCTGAAATCAGTGCAGTTCAGGTGGATTTTTAATTTTAGAAATAGGTTTTATATGAAAATGCACCACTGCTTTTCTACCCCTCCATTGACATCTTCTATGTAGTTTTTCTTTGAATTGACAGATGGAATCCCACTAACGGGATAATGTAATAAGAGTGAGGAAGCACTGCTGTAAAGCATATTGATTAGTTTTTAATGCTGTGTTTTTATTTTGTGCTACTCATTATTCAATTCAATTAGGAGTTTTTCAGGACAAATAAGAAGATAAAGTTAATAATGTTTTGGAATACGTTCTGAAGAATGAAACCCACAAGAATTGCTGTTCAAATCATGAATATTCCAACTAAACATAGATAAAGCTGGAATAAGAGAAGCTTAGGAAAGAAAAAAAAAACAGAGGTTTGGTATCAAAGACACTACTATTATAAATACATGCCATTAATTCCAAATGCAATTCTCTATAAGATTTTTCATATTTAACATTTCATGATGTTAGTGTTTACCATTGTCTTCTTATGAATCCCTTTTGTGGGGCACCTAGTTTTTGTGAGGATGGTTTTGAACTCGAGATCCTCCTGCCTCAGTCTCCTGAGCCCTTGGGATTATAGGCTTGCACCACCATATCCAGCAAGCCCCAGCTCTTTTTACCTGTGCTTCTAACTAGCTATAAATTGGGGTCCCACAATCTCCTTATTGGGTTTGCCTAATTTGCTTGAGTGGTTCACAGAACTCAGGGAATCACATTTACCAGTTTATTGTAAGATATTTAAGAAGGATGCAATGAAGAGATGCATAGAGCATTGGGGTGGGGAGCAGAGTTTCATGCCTTCTCCAGGTACAGTAATGTCCAGAAATCTCCAGGTATTCAGTCATCTGAAAACCCTCTCCAAACCCTGTCCTTTTGAACTTTAATGGAAACTTCATTACATAGCCATGATTGATTGAATTATTGACCATCCGTGTTCAGCTTAACCTTCAGCCCCTCTAATTCTGCTTGGGTCTTTCCAGTTTCTATCCTGAAGATATCCAGGGGTTCCAGCCAACAGTCAACTAATTAGCATACAAAAAGATACTTACCACTTCAAATATTCTAAGGGTTTTAGGGAATAGGGACCAACACCAGATATATATTTTATAAGATCACACCTTTGCAACTCACATTTTGAATTAACAGTTATTTGATATGAAGATCAATCTTTGAAAGATTTGGTTAATTTGTCCTAACTTTTTTGGAGTGATAAAATGTTCACATATATTTATAGTCGGTCAAGTTATACAATTTTATATAGCACTTACAAAAATATTTTCAAAATTATATAAAGGGTAATCCCTTTTATACCCTATTTTTTATAAAATAATGAACCAAACACAACTTGTGATAAATATTTGTGCTAAAGAAAACACTAGATAAAATTTTCCACCCAATTTTAATTAAGTATTTTTTTTCCTTTTCAGACAATGCCTCTCAACAGTAATCAAAAAGTATGATTTCCACCTGAAATACCTATTGAAAAACCAGGTATTGGCTTTTGTTATTTGATCTGTCAATTCAATAAGCATTCATTAAGCATGTTCTATTTTCCTGAAATATTGAAAGTTTCTGAAGACAAAGATGAATGACACAGAAAGTTTGTACTTGAGGGGGCTTTCATTCTACTATGGACAAACAGACAAAAAAATATATGGAATGAAGTATTGTAAGTACCATGAAAGATGTGTGTATATGCAGGAAACATAAGTAAGACAGGATTATTAGCTTTACCCATTTAAACTATGTATTGAAAAACAATTCAGTGTTTTCAGGCCAAACAAGGGAAATCTTGAAGGATGGTGTGGAGTAGGGATAACTTTCAGCCAAGGAAAATATGAAGAGAAACAGTCAGAAAACAGCCTGGTGTGATTAGGAAGCCATATGAAATTTGACATGGCTACAAGGGGTCAGGTTGAGAACCTAGAAAGAGAGCAGACAGCACCAAGTTATGTGGGATCATCTGGACCTTACATGGGCAATTAAGGATTTTCAAATTCATCAGTTGATGACATGAAACCATTCTGCAAGGTGGTACAAACATTGACAGTTGATTGGAGGAGCATTTTATTAACCGAGAGATGATTTAGGCATAGCTTAACTCTCAAATTTAGGAATGGAGATAATGGGACAGATCCATAACAGGTGAAAATGTGCAATTTACATAATCAGCTGAAAAACTAGGTGTTTTTACCTAGGGCATGCCTAGAATAACTCCATATTTCCCTGCTGCTGACTTACTGCATGGAGAAATCAACTGACTACAATGAAGAGAGGAGAAACATCCTTGGCAGGAGAAAATCATGGGTGTTGTCCAATGCTATTGAAATTGGGTCATGTTTGGGGCATCCAAGTTGTGATCTCCATTAGGCAGATCACTTCCTGCAGCTGCTTCTTCCAGACAAGAGTTGGTGTTTCACAAATAAGACACCATATTATTACAGAAAATTGTATGAGTCAGAGACTATTTTTAAAACAAGTGAGAACTTTTTTCCATTAAGTAATTGACTTTGAGCTTGGTTCTTCAACCTTGTGATTTTCATTCTTCCTAATATAAAAGTTAAAACTTATAGGTACCCAGGACACATTAAAACTTCACCCTAGAGCATCTATACCTTTTGACTATATGTAGAGATACTTTTGAGGTTATCATAATCTACTTATACGTGAATTAATTTAGTTATCTAAATGTCTCAGTATTGCTAATATATCATACACATACACACATGATTTTTGAGAATTTGTAATGGTGCTTAACTTCCAAATTTAGAAGTTTGATCATATTATTCATATATGAAGACTCCAATATATTCACTTTGAAAGAAACCATTGACTACTGTGAATTTTTCTGATATGACTTAACACTTGGCAAATCATCAAAGAAATACTGTCTTTACATTATCACTGGGAAATAGTGATCATCTCTTACCAATAAATTACTTTATAAATAGACACAGTGTTTGAGACATTCCAGATGAACTCAGTCCAAAACAATTAGCTTTTTAAATGAGTTTTTTTTTTTATGAAGCATCAATAGTAAATATGTGAGAATGAAGGACAGACTCTAATATTCTAAATTTTTTATTTTGCACCTTCTATTATTCAACAAGCACATTAAATAGCATTTCATTGATGTCTAAAACAGCATCAGTTTTAAAAAGT